GACAATGTGTAAAGTGTTACTGGCAGACTTGCTGCACTGCAGTTCCAGTCAAGTTACAGGCTATCTTTTTTCTTATTGTCTGCACAACCCAGGAAATACACAGCTCTAAGTAGGAAAGCTTTACCTTCTCATTTTCTCTAATGTAACTGTAAATTTCAGATTAGTTACATGCACAAGTCAATTATGATGTTCCAGGTATCATCGTTCACATATTGTTTGCTTCAACCAGGTAAGCACGGGACAGGGAAAATAAAAACTGACAACAAGCTTTTCTATCTTGCCACATTTTACATTACCTGCTGTCTTCTCTCAGGAAAGCAGAAAAACTATTCCAGAATATCATCTTAAGAAAAAGGTTATGTATACACCACAGAGGGACCAGAGAAAGCCATCAGCTCAGTCAGTTACCAACTGCAGAGCCTGGCTGAGCTACAGCCAAGCTATTTTCAGACTACCACCACTGTGGGTGCCCATCACCTTACCCTGAAGTCTCTTCTATAGGAGAGATATCCAATTATAGATGCATGGGAATTGTCTGCACAAGCAAGTTTCCCTGAAATAATGCAACACCCGGGTTTAAACTGCATCAACTATGTGACACTACTAGCTCATGTTCTGTTGGAGATGCACAGCAACCCACCCATCAAGAAAAGTAAATTCATATTAAGTAAGAAAGAGAGATTCACCAAAAGGTGAGTTACCATTGCCCAGGCTACACATGTACTCCTGAAGACTAGGAGTTGCTCCCCTTTGCTGATGCAAAGGAAAGTCGCCAGAAAAGACACACAACTGCTTGAGCACAGCAGACCTGCATCTGCTGAGGAATTAAGCATTCATCTTCTTGCAGCCTGCTCCCAATAGTTGGATTAAATTATATTTTTATATTTTCCTCTACTGCCTAGGAAGCAATTTCAAATCGAAATGGACACTCTGTCTTTAACTACACCACCTAAAATGAAAACTAAAAAGGAAGCAGAAACATACACAAAAATACCCAATAAGTGTTAAATGTCGCAACAAATATTTTAGCTTTTTGGCAGACTCTACATTTATCCTTTTATAAACCTATGACCGCACAGAGCTTCTGGGTCACGCCTTCTAAATCTCCATGAGTATCCAGACAGACATAACTTACTACCACAAGCAGCTCCCACTGGTATGTCAAAAACTATTGCATGAGTGAGACAGCACTAAGAGCTACGCTGACAGAGTTGTAGTATTTGAAGGACCGGATCTTTATCACACGTGGGGCAGCATTTTTAAAGAAATATGAATCAACATGTGGCTCCCCTTATAATGGCTCTTATCACCAAAACACCTGTAACGCTATACAAAAGACTTATTTGTTGCTTTCACTAAGTGAAGAAAAACATGGTACTCATTAAAGCCTTGCTATCTACACCACCAGGCATCAGAGGCAGCCAACCCACTGCACCTCGTCAGCCCCTTCCTCTGCGATTCCACTGTATCAGAACAACCATCCGAACGTGGGCTCCCTTCCTACAGATCTGATGCTGTGCACCTTTGCTGTGTCAGGAGTCTGGCACGCAATCTCTCTCTTTCATGCTGAAAAATGTAGCTTATCTTTTCTGAATCGAGATCAAGGGAAATAAAACTAAAGGAGCTCTGGTGTCCACCCGGCACTCCTCACTGGCACGCCGGAGACCAAACTGCTGCCGCCTCCTACCCCGAGCGTATGTTTCTTGAAGACTGTTTTCTAACGAGACATCATGAGATCTTGCTTCTTCCTAAAAAATTACTTTTCAGAAGTCCTCCAGCAATGCTTTGAAGTTGCCGTTTAAAATCACTCCGGATTACTTCCTATTAACATACAACCCGCCATCCATTTCAACCAAGCCCGCCGCCGTACAGCGCCGTGGTTTGAACACTGATTTACTCCCGATGCCGAAGCCGCAGCGGCCCCACGGTCCCACCGGAGACCCGCGGCCGAAGCCGGAGGGTCTGCTCCGCCCGCCGGCGGGCGCATTCCACCGCTGCAGGCACAGAGCTCACCAACGCATCCCCGTAACAGATCACAGGACCCCGACGGAATCGCTGGAGGCTCCGAGTTTTAAATTTCCTGCCGAGGGGCCGTTACGCTACTCTGAACGCACCCCCCCCCCCCCCCCCCCGGCGCAGACCTAAATCGCGTATTGTAGCCCGGTATTATTTAACGCGTTTAGCCTCACGGCATTGGGAGCGCGGCGCTGGAAGCCGGCGAGGGGCGAGCGGGACCCCACCTCCCGCCTCCCCACCGACACCAACAGACCCGGGAGACGCCGCTGCGGGACGCGACCCGCCGCGCAGCACGGCCAGGAGCAGCGGGGCGCCGAGCGGCCCTCGGCCGCGACACCCACCCCCCGCCCTCAGAGCTCCCACACGGGCGAGGGGCTGCGCGGGGAGTGGGCGCCGGCCGCACCGGGGACGGAGAAGCCGGGGGGGGGTGGGGGTGGTGGTGGTGGAGGGGAGGCTGTTGGGCGCGGCCCCCGCCTCAGCCAGCCCCGGCGGCGGGATGGCCGCGCCGCTCCCGCTGCCCACAGCGAACCGGCCGCTCCCCCCCCCCCCCCCCCCCCAACCTCCCGCCGCCCCCGTCAGTCGCACCACCTACCCCACAGGCCGCCGCCGGTCCGGCGCGCGCCCCGCCGCCCCCACGCCGCGCGCGCGAGCGCACACGCCGCCCACGCCGCCACGCAGCGCCGTGCCCCATCCGCCCCACGGAGCCCGCGCAGCAGCGGCGGCGGCGGCGCGGCGCTGCTTCCACACGCACCCCCCCCCCACACACACACACACCTCCCGCCCACCTCAGCCCCGCCGCCCCTTACGCTGGCTCGGCGAGGAGGTGGGGCGGCCGCCGGGAGGAACCAGGAAGTGAGCGGCGGCGGCGGCGGGAGGCAGCGCACACACACACACCCCCCCTCCCCTTTGCCCGTCCCGTCCCTTTCCCGTCCCGCCGCAGCGCGGCGTGGGGGGCTCCCCGGCTCACGGGTGGGCGCTGGCCTCAGCCGCCCTGGGTGCTGCGGGGCCCCGCGCGGCCGCGCCTGCTGCGCGTTTACGTCCTGGGCGTGCGGGGAAGGGCCGGGGGAGGGGGGGGGGGGGGGGGATGGAAATCGCGGGTTTTGTGAGGAAAAAATAACGCGTTTTTTTAAGTCGTTTCCTCACGTAGGGCACGGGTGGGCTCCAGGGCGCCCCTCGGAGCCGCCGTGTTTCGGATCGGGCAGCGCTGCGCTGCAGGTGCGGCGCCCGCAGACCGAGACGCGGCGAAGTTGTCGCGACGCTCGTTCCACAGCACCAACACCCCGCCCCCCCCCCCCCCCCACACACACACCCCGAGGCATCGCGACCGGCCCTCGCAGCCTCGCCGGGCGCTCGTCACGCGAGTTTTCACACCCCGGGTGTCTCCCTCAGGCTGGCTTTACTTCAGCCAGAGCATGCCATCCATTTACCATATTGAGGTCAGAAGAAAAGACATCGCTTTGCCCTCGTTAAAAATAACAAACAAGCGGCATCTTTTTTGTCTGGTAACCTTCACTGTTGCCTTGCGTTGGAGAAGGGAATGTGAACGCATGAGGATGCACTCTTCAGAGCGAGGGGATGCCTTCTGCCATCCCCGAGGAAAAACGAGCCAGACCTGGGCTTCCTCAGCCTTTGGAAAACCGCTGTCTGCACGTAAACAGGATTTGCTGGCTGGGCTGCCGGATTATGCAAGAATTTGACTCGCATTAGGTAGACTCCAGGCTCGGATGGCAGAGGGAGGAAAGAAAAATAAAATCACTCCTTCCTTGCAACCGGAACTGTTACCTGCTCTGGGCTAAGCCATGAGACCAGCAGGACTGGGAGCCAGAGTATCACCTCCCCGTGCTCTTCGGGGGGAATCACAAGGTGCACCTGCATTAACGCTTTGTCTCAGATCAGGAACTAATTTTTACGAGAGTTTCTAATTTCTCTTTACTGTAATTGGATCACACTGCGGAACGTGGGGACACAATAGGCACTGCAGGGCCAGATGAAGGGTCCGTCTGTGTGGGATGGCAGCACGGGCTGATGCTATTTAGGGAGAACAGAGAAACCGGGCTGCCTTTTGCATGGGCACTGCCTTTGCCAGGTGTTCCCTTGGCCCTGCTCACCCCACGGTGCCTGAGCTCCATCTCCCAGCTCAGTCAGGCTCCACCACTGGCTCTCCCCACCAAGAAGCAGTACACGATCCTCACATAACAATCCTGGCGTGCGGAAACTTAACTCCTTTTGGATGCCAGGAAGCCCTGGGGTGCATCCCAGAAACACACCTGCTTTCTGCTTCGACTCCTAATGGATGTGCAACCTGCTAACGGGACCAGACCGGTGCTAGCCCAAAGCAAAACCTCCAAAACATCACTCACTCATCAGGTTTGCTCCCACCACCTTGTGCCGCCTGCTGAAGTAGGCACAGCCAGGAATGCTCTGTACATTTAATGAGGTAAGGAGCCTTACAGAACTAGAAGCACCTGGATAAACTCCAGCAGCATGCTGTGTAATCCTTATAACACATGGGTCCTTCTCACTCAACTGTCAGCCTGAAGTCAGACAGCAGCTTTTAAAATAGCTTGAAAATTACACGAAAGAGCTGTGCAAAGAAGTGTGAAACTTACATTAACCACTCATGAAACTTTCAATTAAGGCTGTGGAAAAAAAAAAAAAACACAACACCCTTAATTATTGTTTTATTATATAGTATGCGGTTTTAATTACATTTCCCATACTACTTTCCCACGGATAACTGGCACAGGACCAACAGCACTCTCCTAATGAGAGCATTTCATCTCTTCCCTGCCTCCGCACCAACCTGGCCCGTACTCCACAGCGCACTCGGACCTTTCCCTGAGGTAAAAACCTCTGCGTTTCCTCGTTTTTCTTGCGGGGTTTATCACTACGCGAGCCCTGGGGTATTTCCACAGCCCCCTCCAGAAGCTTTTTACCTTGGCACCGCGCCGACTGAGAGCGGTGTCGCTGCCCTTTCGGCTTACCATGGCCGTCAGCTTCTCGGGAAGGGGGCATTTCCCGGGACGCGGGGCGCTCAGCGGGCACCACGTCCAGAGCGCTGCGCCCCCTCCCCGTGAAAGCCCTTCTGGGGGGAGCTTAAGGGCCGCACACCCCCGCTCCTACCCACACAGAGAGGTGGAGACCCGAGCCGGCCCCCCCAACTCCGGCAGCACGACAGCGATGGCGGCCCCGCCGCTTTCCCGCCTCGGGAGCGGGGCGGCGCGCCGGCGCGGGAGCGGCGCGCGCCTTCCCGCGCCCGCCCTCCCCACCGAGTGAGGCGGCGCGCGGGCGCCGGAAGCGGAAGCCCGGTGTCGGTGGTCAGCATGGCGTACGTGGTGCTGAGTGAGGCGGAGAAGCTTTACATCGTGCACGGCGTCCAGGTAACGGGCGGCGGCGAGTCGCTGGGAGCGGCCCGGCCGTGGGGCTGCCCTGTGGGGCGTGGGGCAGGGCCCCCGCCCCGGGCTCGCTCCCTGTGAGTGGGCGTGGGGCGGGGATAAGTTTCAGGGTGGGCGGGGGAGGAGGGAGCGAGCTTTCCGTGAGCTGGTGTCCAGGCGGGAAGTCTCTGGGGCAGTTAGTGGTCGTCCGGGGTATCGGAACAGAAAGCGGGCTAGGAATAGGGCGTGGATTTGTTTGTTGGTTTTTTTTTTTTTTTTTTTCATTTCTTGTCCTCTCTCCCCCCTCTTCCTTTCATCTTTATCGAGTTTCTGCCGTTGTGTAGAGTTTTAGCTTGTTGCTAAGCTGAGGAACAGTGAGTGGACCAAGGAGTAAGAGTGAAGGAGATGTGGGGAGAAGTGCTAAAGATGAGAGGACTGTACTTCTGTACTTCTTGCCAAGTACAGAAACTGTGTTTTACTGCAGAGAAAACTACTTTTGTGGGGATGAGCAGTGTAATGCCTGAGGGTGCGTAACGTCTGTTTTGAAATACAGATGAAAGCATTTGGAAGACTGATGGGTTATTTTTGTCTGCTGAGTCCTAATTACATACATAAAAGTACAGAACTTGTGTGTCCCAAGAAAAAAACATGTTAAGTAAAATACCTTTTAAAGTCAAGACCTTTACAATTTTGTAGTCTGAAGCTTTCTTTTGGAGTTGGAAGACTTAGTGCTGGAGTCCACATCTATCTGTAGAGAGCTTGTTGCAAGTTCTAGATGAATGAGAGGTAAATGGAAAACTACAGCTGGTTCTGTTGTACTCTTAACTATGAGCTGTTGCTTCTACATTCTTTTTATTGCTGTGTTTGGTATAGGAAAAGGAAACTTTAAAATCACAGGTTTTTTTGTTTTTGTTTTTTTTTACTTTTTATTACTGATTCCCTTAAGCACAGTATATTGATTGTCATACTTAGGAGGACCTTCGTGTAGATGGTCGTGGTTGTGAGGACTACAGGTGTGCAGAAGTAGAAACAGATGTTGTATCAAACACAAGTGGATCTGCAAGAGTAAAGCTGGTAGGTAAACTTCTTAGGGATTGTGTACCTTGCTGATGAAACGTCTGGTTTATGTAACTAGTTTTGAGAGAAGCTGGGGATATTTGTAGATGGGTTTGTGTGTGTGCGTGTAGTAACTCTGTATGTGTATAACTGAAACTATGGGATAAGGAAATAATGACAGAATACGTAATTCATTCAGGCTGGCTTAACCTGCTTGAGCTAGATACACCGTGAAATACTTGGATGTTCTTCAGTCTGAACTAATCTAACATTTAATCTTAAAAATGTAAATTACTGTTGTGCCTAATCACTGGAAAAAATAATTCTATTCATTTAGTGTGAAGCAAAACTACTTCTGACGTGTTGACTGGAAAAAGATAAATATACTGTGCAATATTATAAAGGTTCTGCAGAAATAGCTATTTCCAGAACCAAAATTATAAATGTAGTCATGGATATGAAGAGTGTCGTTCTAATGTAGAGAAAGCTAATATGTATGGTAATTATTTGAAGAATCTTCTTAGGCTTAACGTTGTCCTTCTAAAGCCTTTCTTTTTTAAAAAAACCCTAATGTTATGTTAAGTTCACTCTGATAGAATGATCAGCGCAGGTAACTGAAAGGTAGAAATGTCAGCTTACCATAGGCATTTAAATTAAATGAGTAGTTCTGTGACTAATTCCAGTTGTGTGATATGTTTTTCTTTTAACAGGGACACACTGATATCTTGGTGGGTGTAAAAGCTGAAATGGGGACACCAAAGTTAGAGAAACCAGATGAAGGTTACCTGGAATTCTGTGTTGACTGGTTAGTATACTAGAAGAGAATAAAATAGATCTAATAGTTGGAATAAATGACTAATCAGATTTTACCATTCTTCTGAAACTCGTACCTTCATTCCACTAACCTTGGGAAAGGGTCCAAGTAATAGAAATAAGCTATTTTACTGTTTCAGTAGTGGTGAATGTTCAGAAACTTTCTGCTGGTTCTACAGACCCAAAATAAGTAAAGCAATAGGAGTTAAAGAGTGAAAACAGGTTAAATAAAACAATCCCAAATTGCATAGCAGCACTGCAGCTGGAAGAGAGCAATGGCTTGGTTACACATGCAGTTAACATGACTTCATGATTACAGTGACAGTTGTCTTTTTACAATGATAGAATAGAGAAATTCTCTTTAAAAAATTAAGCATTCAGGAAGAAAAGAATTGACTGATACAGACTGTACATTAGCTGAACTTAAAGGTTAGCTTATTTTGTCTGTGAAAGCAGTGGAAAGTGTGTTTTCTACAAATCCATTTGTTTTAAAAAAAGAAAAATTCTTGCTGTAAACTTCAGATGGAAAATTTAATTAGAAAATTGAGTTATATTTATCGGTGAATCAGTATTTCATTAACTAAAATAGTACTTGTTTTATATCATATTCCTGGCTGTGTGCTACAAATGGACTATTGTTTAGCCTTACAGTCTTCATAGTGCTTGAATTATATGAAGCTAGAAGAAAACTGAGAGCTCTTGTTTTCAAGTTACTCTGAGATAGCATAGTGACATCTCAATGTTATTACAGACTGTCTGCTGTCTGAAACTACAGTATCCATGTCTTGCAGACTTCTTAAAGCTTCTTTATGAAATAATGGGCTTTGGGAACTTCTCATAAAAGCCTTGGCACTCTCAAGTTAGATGTTTTGCATGTGACATTTCTTTTTATTTTTACTAAAACCAAAAAATGTTGCTACTCTGATGTTAACCCAGTATACCATTAGTAAAGGTGAGATATGAGAGCTAAGTGTATAAATCTCATAATCTTTCTGACCTAACTGGATATATCTGCCTTAACGTTTGTGTATCTCTCAGATTATGCAGCCTGATCTAAGACTGCCTCTAGATGTCACGATGTACTAGTTAACTGTGGAAACTTACGGTTTGTAGAGGGAAGGAGTCACCTATCAAATAATGGTTTGTCTATGATTACTGTTCAAAAAATACCAGACAGGAAGATGATCTTCTCAGACGCGGTCCTGCCATTAGAGGGCATCTCAGCTTGACTGCTTTATAACACTCATGTATGAAATATCCTAAATAGTACCCACTCTGTTCTGGTAGTTTCTATATGAAGAAAGTTCACTGACAGCAGGAACATTTCCTTACTATAAAACAAGTAGTCTGTGGGGGTCTTGCCAGTCTGTGACACTTCTTCATATGTAAATAAATGTTAGAAAAACTTTAGCTCATTAGATTAATATTAGGTTGTATTTTCTAACTGTTAATATCTGCTTCGTCAGAGGATGGGAGATGTGCAGCAATATTGTGCAAGCTGGATCTTGTCAGTTCTAGAAATAGCTAATCCTTACTTTTTGTGACAACATGGACCGAAAGCCTAAATTTTGGAGAAAGGTAGTCACTTCTTGCATGCTTGTGCCACCATGGAAAATTGACCTCTAGCCTCCAGAAATATCGATAAGACAAAATGTGAAGTGAAGGCAGCTTGTTCTTTGTAAAGGGGAGTGAGATGCTGTCTGTACTCTGGTGCTTTTCTAGGCTGCCACTTGGTGGTACTAACAGCACTGATACATTGCACCTCCTGGTGAAGTTCCTGTATGTTCTACTTGACCTTTATATTGTTGAAACTAAAAAGAAAAACTCAGCAGTGTTTGATACCTTAAAATGCTTATTTCACAAAACTTTCATGGTTTCTTATACTGCTGAAAATAATAACTTGCTGGATCACGTATATAATTCTTTGCCCCAAAATTTCTTCTATGTTCAATCTATTCTGAGTCCTTAACCTAAAATCTGAGAAGCACCTGTAGTCCCATTTTGAGATGGACTTTAATGTGAGTCACTGGAAGAGATAATTTTTGGGGCACTGATATGTGATACTAGAAATTAATTATCGTAGAACAAATCTGTGTTCTATGTGATGTCCCTACTACCCATCAGCACTGGAAAAGACAGTCATCCTGGCCATTGATGTTGAAAGACTGCTGTCTTGGCTTTTCTCATATTTGAGTTTTGGGGCTGTTCTAATACTGACTTGTTAAGGATTTTGTTGGTTTTGTTTTTTTGACTGAAGCAAAGATTTATCATTTTCAAAGTGCAAGAAATAAAAAAAATAAAATTCAGACATCTGAATTCCTGAATGCATTAGATTTTTGTTTGTGGAATTAGGGAAGCAAGGAGTATATTCGTCCAAGTCTGGCCATCTGTTTCTCCACTTTAAAGGCCAGACATGCTTTTGTTCCAGCTGGAAGGGTGAGCCAATTTGTTATGCTTGCATGGGAGTCTGGATCAGCTAGGATCCTAAATATTATAGATGGAAAATAGTTCTCCAAATCATAAGAGGTGACAGTACTGCAGAGCAGCCACATCAGCATGCTCTTAGATGATCCTTAGATATTGTTCCTTTGAGTTTTGTGGGGAAATCTTAACTTAAAACAAATTTCAGTGCAGTCACTGAAGGTATCACTTGAATTGTGGCTGCAGGAAAGGAGCCTCTTCTTCCCCTCTCTCCCCAACCATAAACCTTTTATCATGGCAACTGTTCTTTGTAGAGGCAAGAGGCAAACTAATGAGTTTTGAAAGAATGAAATGTCTTTATGGGTTTTTTTAGGGCACTTCCTCCATTAAAGATACATTGTCTGTACTGCATGGGATTGAGCTCAGTTTTCAGAGAGTAGCACCATTTGATGCTTGAGTAAAACTGTTTCAAACTCTATAAGCAGGTGTGCTTTTGGATGGAAAGTG